CATGGAGTTTCAAACACATCTTCTTGGCTTTTCATGGCAAACTCCTTTAATGGCCCCCCAAGGGACTTCTTGTGATTCTCTCTTCCCCCAGAAAAGCATCACAGTTGCAGACTTTTCCCGTTTACCAGGAGATCAAGCAGTCAGGCTCAGGGTGAGCAGTGGGAAAGCCTGGATCAGGCAGCTCCCCTGGTAGCAGAGAGCTTCCCACACCCAGGGTGCTCCCCAGCCCTCAGCCAGTGGATTTTGTTGTGGTTACTGCTGAGCCGCCTCCTCTCGCAGAGCTGTCCTGTGTCCCAGCCCAAGCCCTGCAGCCACGCTCGGCATCTTTCTTTTGGTCACAGCCTGATGTGCTGACATGTGAACAACTCCTTTTAAAGAACAGATACCCTTTCAAAGAGCAAAGTCCCCCAGGCAGCTGGGGAAAACTGGCAAAGGACACACACTGGATTAGTTTTTGCACTGTGCTCCCTGTGGCTCTTCACACGAAGGAGCCGGTGGCATGAGATGGGGCTTGGGGACCAAAGTTGGTGCCTTTGCATGTTAGAAACCATTTCCGTTTGCAAGCCTGACAAGCACTGTCTGTTTCAGTATTTGTGATCCCCACAGAGCTATTTTTCTGCATTTCCCAATACTTTCTCTTCTTCCCTATTCAGTCTGCAGATGGGCCTGGCCCCTTAGCTGGCTCCCTTCAAAGGAGGGCATTATATTATGCCATCATTTATCACACTGTTCTTTTCTCCAGCAAATTTCCATTATGATTGGAAAAAAAGTCTGGCAGCCATCACCTCTGCTCTTAGATGAACTTTGGTTGGTTATTGAGCTATTACTCATAATTTAATTGTCTTCACTTTCTCTATCTATGTAAAAAGATAGATAAATAGAGATAGATAGATAGATAGATAGATAGATAGATAGATAGATAGATTAGATAGATAGATTAGATAGATAGATAGAGGTATGAAGGAGGAGGGGAGCAATTTGGGGTGATTACTGGCCCAAGTCAAGTTGGAAGGGGAGGGAAATTGCCTTGAGCTGCACCAATTTACACCTTCCAAGATACTGCCTTTCTGTGACAGTGAAACATTTCTCACTACCAGAACTCAATCTAGTGTCTGCTTGGGTTTAGTATACAGTTAAATTCACAAGATGCAGTTCAAGAAAAAGCTACAGATTGATGTTTCAGCTTCTGAGAGTCAGAAAAAGTGAACTCAAGCATATGTAACTTCACAGACTAACCTAATCTTCCCCTCTTGCTAAGATTCACATAGCAACAGTGAAAGGGGCTTTCTTCAATTTGCCTTATCCTGTGTGTATTTAAGATAACTCTTTTTTTTCCAGAATTTCATTTAGCTACTCATACTACAAACACAAGGACAGATGGTCACCAGATCAAACTTAATCAGCATTCTGTATGCTGGATTTTGGGCTTAGAAATTCATCTGGTTCTAGTAAAGCATAGTCTGAAACCTGCCTGATGTTAACTCAACCACAGAATTGTATTAAATTTCTAAGCCTCCCCATCCTCATAGGAGATTGAGATGGGAACCATCGGGCAATTTCTAAAAAGGGTTGATTAGTAGTTTAATTATCAGAGATCAAAATCTGCTCTGTTAGTAGTGTCTCACTGGAGAAATGCATTTTTAATGGGAGAGTGCAGCCCAATCTTACCCATTTGTGTCTTCTTCAAATTCATTACAGGGCTAAATCCAGTCCTGGAGTTAAAGGATGTAGTTTTGTTTACATCCTCTTACTCCATATTGAATTCAAGGTCTAGACCTTGGCAGTGCACCCTCAGTCAAGGCAATTTGGACTATTTTCCCATGGCTTCTTCTCATTCCTCTTTTCATCGGGCTCTTCCCTTCCCTGCCTCTCACTGTTGTCAGTTGTTGGGCTGAACTCCATGTGAGTGTCCCCACCCCAAGGAGCTGTGGTTACATACACAGGACAAGAAATGAGCTTCCCACAGGGAAGGCCTGTCAGGCTTCTACCTGCCCGTAGGCACACAGTATCCAGGGGCATCAAGAGCCATACCAGAACCTCCTTTGCCTCAAGTGAAGTCAGGGTTTGACTGTATCCTTAAATCCTGTGTCCTTCAGGTTGGTGTGGTGATCTTTTCGCCCTCTCCAAAACCATTCCGCTATTTTACCCCTCGTGCCACAGTCTGTTAGAGATGTGTGTGTACCCCTGCCTCCAACTCTGCTGCCTGTATTTGCATAACTGTGGCATGGGGCTGCCTGGCTGGAAACCAAACCCCCCTCCAAATGGCACAGAGGCGACAGCCATCTGTGTCTTTTTCACATTTGGTTTCATTGTTTTAGGATCAAATCCAACCACTGCAACCTACAGTAACTCTAGACTTTTCAAGGCTCGGAGCTTTCCATATAGCACGATCTGTGGTTTCACTGTGGAGAAGCAAACCTGGAAAAAAAAAAACTTGTTGGACTGGATCAGAAGTATTTTAGTTAGTGCAGAAGGCTGCCAGTGGTGAAACTAGCACTCCCAGAGCATGAATGAACGGAGGGTGTTTCATTCTGTGCATGCTGGACAATTCAGTCCTAACTGGGCATTATGGCTGCACTGGGCAGATCACTCTGGAGATGCATTTCCATTGCCACGTAATAAATATAAGTGCTCTTTATGAGACACTCATGGATGGAAGGCATCTAGTGGTTGCTAAAGGTTATTCTGATGATGTATATTCAAAGCCCTCCTGTTTGGCATTAATTAGCACAATGTTCTATTTTGCAATTTCCCAGCACAGACACATCCAGATTCCTGCTAGGAATTGGAAGTGGCATCCACCCACTCCTCCACCCAAACCAGACAGCACTGATACAATCCCTCCCTCCATGAACCCCCCACAACCCCATGGCAGGGACATGCAGGGGCTTGCAGGATGCAGGATTTTCTTGCATTACACAATCAAGGCATTTATTTCTAACAGGCCTCAGGCTGGGATCTTCATGAAGGTCTCTCCCATGAGTCCCAAAAGCCCAGTGCCATTAGCTGGGAGCTCCTGATTAGTCAGAAGCTCCTGATTTGGCCTGTGGGCTGGAGTATTTCTGACATCCAGGTTGAAGATTGCTGATTGCAGGAAGCTGATGCCCTCAGGAGCTCACAGCCCTAAGGAACTGATGGAAGTTTGTGACCCACACGCTGATTTGAACTCTTCATGTCACAGCACTGGGACAAACTAGTGTAAACTTATGTGTTCCTGTTTCTCTGGGCTTGGTTGCTCCAAGCCTACTACAGCTGCTTACTGATGCAATACTAAGGAAAATGTGTAAGAGGTACTCTGGGGGTTGGATTCTGCCCTTGCCAAAGTCCAAGAGAGAAGGAAACACTTGCGCTTTTTCTACCTATTTTATCCCTGTTGGGTGTCTGAAAAGCATTTGCTACCAGCCCCAAGCTACAGAGATAATTAGATGCTGTACCAACCAAACTGCCAAAAGATGATAACTTGTGTGTTTCAATATTGCATGGAACATAACCTAAAATAGCTAAACAGATCCTGTAATTAGGAAAGTACCAACTTACACTCATATCCTCCTCTGCCTAGGCATCCCACCTTTGGGATGTTCACGGCTTCTGAGCTCCTGGCACTGGGCTGAGTGCTTTTTCCACTGGCTTTGGTGCATCCTCAATGCAAAGGGACTTTTTTGGTTCTTTCTTATGAGTGGTTCTATCTTGCCTCATGTAAGGACCCTCGGCCTCTGAGCTCTAGTGCTGGAGCTGATTCTTTTGCATTAATCTCTTACACCACAGCCATCCTCTCAACAGGCTACATGGTGAGATGAATCATTTTCCATGACTAATGGGACAGTGTGAAGCTCTGAAGGGGCACAGTTACAGTCCTGTAGCTGTGATCCCACCATGGGTGACAGCCACTGCTGGAATCTGCCTCCAGCGTCACCCCCCCCCCGTGGCACCACTGCAACTCCACCATTCCCAGCACCATGGTCCCTGCACGCTCTCCCAGTGCTGGAACAACTAGGCCTACATGCACCACTTCATTTTGGTTTTTACGCCTCCAGCTTCCCTCCAGATAAACGTATTTTTTTAACTCAGAAATACATTTGTTCCAAGTCAGATGCCAACTGCTCCCAGTGCCAAGAAGATGCAGCGCTCCTTCTGCTCGCTCTGTTTTCCCGTGAACTTTATCAGTTTTTGCTTGTTTCTCTGTGACCTTTGGAGCCCATTCAAAGTCATCTGCCTTTTGCTTTGATTTCCTTTCAGTCCAGTGCAGGTTGCCAGCTGATTTGTTGCCTGTTTTTACACATCGCCAGCAAATCACCACCTCTTCATATTGTTCAGTCAGTCATCAACTCCAGGCTTGCCAGCTCTTTTTGCTAATGGGCTAGGAGGGATTGTTACATCTAAGCTAATGGGACCAGAAAGCTGCTTAATTACAGCTAACAAATCTTTAAAGACTAATGTCAGACTTTTATGGCCAGTGAGGGTCTGGCCAGTGTTATGGACCCAAGGTCCACCTGTACGTTGGCTGTACCTCATCTTTCCACTGGTTAGCCAGGCACTCCCACTGCCACAAGCACTGGTTCCACTGCACTGGAAATGTATCCCTCAAGTCGTTGTGCCAGAGATTTGGCTTGTGCTGGTTCTGGGATGGGGACAGTTTTAATGTAGAGCTGGATGGGACCTCCTGGGTGCTCTCCAGCAGCTGGTCCCAGTTACAGGCAGCCAGGGATCAGTGGGAGGTGAAGGAGCCCGGTGGCTTTTAGCTGTGGTTATTCCTGCAATGTTGGCAAGAGCTGGGGTGGACATGGGAGCCCCAGGTGAGGTGCAGAGTCCATAGGCCATGTCCAGGCTCAGCTCCAGCACCACACAGCTCACAAAGCGCTGCTTCCTTGCCTGCAAAGTTCCGTGTTTTTCATGATTCCTCAGGAGAGCTGTATTGAGGCCCATTTGTGGTGAAAGGCAGGAGTACTTTCTCCAAGAGTTATGTGTGTTTCTCATCATGCTCCTCTGCATTGCCTTTTCAGCTCCAGGTGTGGTGCTCGATGGATTGTTGAAGACCAAGATTTCCTTTGTCGACCAGGAATAAAATCCATATTTCCCTCCAATACAGAGAACAGTCAGAAGGAAAGGTGTAGCACACTTGACCAAAACCCAGAATCATCTGCACTATGGGCATCTCCCACTGCCTCATTCAGGACCCCAGGTATGGATTTATTTGATTTATCTCTTGTGCACAGACATGGTGTACGTAGCTTTAAAACATTCTTACTCTATTTTCTCTGTATGGTCCCAGGTCCCCAAAGAAGGTGATTTAGAGAGATAAGTGCTCACTGATTAGATGGAAATGTGATGATTTTACACAGGGCAGTGGGTGTAGTGTTTTCAGAGGTCACTGCACACTGCTTGGGCTCTCCACAGACGTTTAACTTTTACTCTTCCTCTCTTTGTTGGTTCTCTTCCCATAAATCACCAGAATGAAAACATGGATCAGGTGGGGAAAGCCAGTAGCAGGATGAGGGCTTTATTTTGCTATTCTGCTTCCAAGCCTTGCAGTATAAAGACTGTCACAGGGCTGTGAGCCACATGTGGCCCCCTTGAACAGAGCTAAGCTCTACTGGGACCCACAGGCTGATCCACTGCCACAAACTGCTCACAACATGTGTATAAGGACCACTGGGGCTGTGGTCTCCAAAGCTCAGCCCGCAAGGCTCAGCCCCCCAGGGCTGCACAGCCAAATATTGGGGGAGCTTTACTGTTCCCCCAGGCCATCAGAGCAGCCAAACAGGCTGCCAAGGTCAGGGATTAGTCCTATCTTGGCTTCCACAGGCTCTCTTGGGCACAATCTGAATTTCAAACATGCCATGTCTGCAGTTATGTCTCTGATCCAGATCGAAGCTTGTTTGCTTGCACAGCCTCACAACAGAGAGCTCAGTTTGAGCTCCTTGATTTCAGTGTTGGCCAAGGTTTTGCGTTTTGTACCGAGATCTGTGCTGCTGCCATCACCCACGATGCCAATTCAGCCCACAGCCCTCCTGCCACCCACGGAGTCATGGGATCCAGGGCCAAGCCTGGCAACACCCCATCCGAGGGGTCACAGGCTCCGGAGGGGACAAGGGACGTGTCCCGGGGACCCACGCATCTCAAAGTTATCATGAAAGGCTGAGAAAAAAAGGCACCACATAGCCCTGGGGCTAGAGAACCGCTCGGGACGGGCCCATCCCTCGCTGTCCCGGTGCCCGCGCGTGGCCGATCCCGAATCCTTCCCTCCTTTCCCGCATCTTTGCGCGGGGAGCGCGTGCCCTCTGCTGTCCGCGGGCGGAACTGCAGGTGGGACCGGCCCGGGAGCCGGGATGGGCTCTGTGCTGTCCGTGACCTGAGCCGCGTTTAAAGAGGCACCATAAACCAACCGTGTAATGGAGCTACGAGCTGGGAACCTCCAGCATGGACGAAGGAAGGCGTCACGGTCTCTGTGCCTGCGGGTGCAGGGCAAAGGTGCAGCCCTTCTCTCAAGGAGAGGAGAACCCGAAGTGGATCCCTGGTAAAGCCTGAGATGGAGGCTGGAACAGGGCAGCAGCACAAGAGGGGCAGACTGGAGGTGCCCAAGGCACAGAGGCAGAGGAACTCTTCACCAGCACGAAGCACATTTGGAGCAGTGCCTGCAGAAAGGACGTAAGAGCAGGGGCCAGAATCCAGCGTGCATTTGTTCCCTGTGTTTCTGAAATAATCCCTGAGAGATCAACGGGGTTTCACATCTTTCCCCATCTGTTCTTAATCTGTTTGCCTGACAGATGCCAAACCACCATACCCTGCATGGAAAAACACAAAACAAAATAGAAGGCTTTATATCTTCTCTGGTTTTATTCAGAAACGTTCCCCAGAGCCTGGCACTGTTCGTGCCCCAGGCGTGTGCCGAGGCCCAGGGCAGAACCTGCCCCAGGGACAGATCTGCTGTCAGCAGGGGCTCGCAGCGAGTCTGTTCAGGGCACAGACTGTCTCTGATGGAGCAGCTCTGTGTTTATGCAAACCCGATGACTCCAGTTGATTATCTGCTGCTGGCATCCCTCTGCTGCCAAGAAGCCTCCACCAACATCCCGATCCGATCCCGCTGTTCCAGGCGCTGCAGACTTGTACAGCCTGAGGCAGTCCCAGCCAGGCAGGAGGTGGGCAGAGACAAGGGAACTGCCTTGCTAAAGGTCACAGAACAGAAGAAAACCAGCACCCTGAACCCCCCAAAGGCTCCAGACAATTTGTCAAGCAGCCTCTCATCCCAGTGTTATCTCAGAGTTTGTCCCTGCAAAATCTGTCGAGGACGTGAGCAACAGCATTTTAATGGTACCCATGAATACTTTATTTAAGGCTGAGACTTGGTGACTACAGTACTATCATTATCAGTGCCTGGAATGTGCCATCTCTGATAATAAATAATAAAGGATAACTCCCAACATCAAAAATTATTCTGTCCTAAGCTGTTCCCATCCTCATCCTATCGATCAGAAGGTCTGAGTGTTTGTAACAGCTCATACAGTAAATGGACTTTAACATTCTTCTTTCCAAATACTGAAACTGGCTCTTTCCAGGGCAATGCCATGTAATTTATAGCTCTATCATAAATAGTTGCCAAGTTCTTAATAGTTGCCAAATTCTTTGGGGTCCTTTGAAAGTGAACATATTAAAAAGATATGAGCTGAGACTGACCAGAACTTTCATGTCTGTAGGTTCCTATGTGCCTTTTTTGGTCTTTTCAACAAGCTGCTGAAAAACAATTCTGTATCTTTAAGGCAAGATGATGAGACTTTAGTGTTCCCCTGACTAGTGAGAACAGAGCATTGATACAGCTCTACAGCAGCCAAATGTCAGCACATCTCTACATCTCAACTTCACCATTAGCCTCGGCTAAGAGAGGGAAAGGGAGAGATTTCCTCTTTGCGTATCATTTGCTTAATCAATGTGAAACACAATCCCTGCCAGTCTGAAAATAGGTCTCAAACAGTGACAGTTAAACAGCTGTGCAATTTGTCTATTGCCCCAAGAACAGAGTATTTATATAAGGTTTGGCTGAGCAGAAAAGAAGGCTGGGAAAAGATTCAGCAGCTCTGATAGGAGAGGGGAGATGACACTGTCTTGAGCTGTTAACATCACAGCATGCCCTGCTCTGTTCAGGCACTGCTTCCCACCAGCCCAAGCCTAGGTTAATTTAATCAATGAAAACATCCTGTGCCTCCCCAGTTTGGCAAAGGTAGGATTTGGGGTGAAGGAGATCTCCTTTGCTTACTCTGCATATTTTGCCAGAATCCCCCGACTCCGTGAAATGTCAAGAGAAAGATCAACAGAGTGAAATGTAATCTCAAAGAGAAACACAATATTTTTTAAAATGTCCTCACAGCAGCAATCATAATAAAAATACAAACCTGAGGTTTGTAAAAATGTAGCAATAAAACCACAGACATCTTTACAACTCCCAGATACCCAGAGCTCCCCGGCAGCAAGCACAAAAAGCCTCCCAGACACAAGGAGCAAAAGTCTAACTGGGGACCAGGCCTAATTGTTTTACAGCCTGCAAAAAAAAAAAGCCACACATGACACTAATTCACAGGTCATTACCAGCCACCATCAGAGAAGATAAAATAAATTCCCTTCATTTTCCCTCACCTAGAGACCATGGAGCAGCTTAGTTGTAGGGAGGTGGAACGTTGTGCTTACAGGCAGTATGTGGTTTAGGTTTATAAGGCAAGTTCAGATGTTTGTGCTGTTTCCTGGTCATTAAAAGCCCTTTTTAAAAGCCAGATTACAGGCATCTGTACTTCCCGAGCTAACAGTGGGTATGTTCTGTTCCACAGGAATAGAGATCATCTCTTTTAGAATGTGAGGCAGGCCCTCGGGCAATGTAGCTCAGCCTCCCAGTGTGCTCTGGCAGGTTATTTAATATTTCCATGCCTTGAATCTCCCATCAGCAAAAGGAATCCTGTATTTAGATCTTTTCCAACCTTAATGATTCTATGATTTCTCCCACTCTTTGTCCAACCAGGTTTAAAGCTCTTCCCATGGGGACCACATATCATGAGGAGGCAATGGAGGACTGTGGCAGCACAGGGCTGTGCAAGGTGAACACTCACCTGAGCATGGAGCAAGATTATAAAGGACAGAGTGCAGCTGGTGTAGGATTTTCTGGGCTCCCTGACTTTCTTACATGTTTGACTTGGGTACAGCAGGATTTTGAATGCCCACCTGTTTTGCAGGGGGAGGTGAGCACCAGCTGGCTGAGATGATGGTACTGATTCAGCTATGGACAACTGTGGTGACTTTTCCTCTGTCTGCCACGGAAATGAACCCATGTGGTGGAGATGATGGGAAATTTTTCACAGGGGAAAGAAGAATTCAGTGTAGGCCAGGTTTGAAAAATCCAGAGTAAAACACAGCCTCAGCCTAGTACTGTACAACTGTACTGTACAACTGTCAGGTCGCATTGCAGTAGGTTTCTTGATGCAGATAATTTAATGATTCTTTGGCCCACGGGCACATCTCCCACTGCGAATCTGCTTCTCCGGAGCTGCTTTATCACTGACCTGAAAGGCAGCAATCAGGGCTCGTGTGTAAATGTATGTGATGAGCGCTAATGCACGATAATGGCCACAGCGCATCCAGCGGGGCTGACAACACCCACAAGGTTCTGGATGTGTATTTTGCTCCCTGAACATAGAGGTCACTGGCTTTTTCCTGATGATTTTTGACAGAATACAGTAGGCAGAGCCCAAGCATGCATATATACATCTGTCAGTGATTACTTAATAGTTAAGAGTAGTTTTAGGGGTATTTTTGTAAAAGCCATAAAAAAACCCCAAATTGCAGATGTCATGGGTCATCTTTTGCCCTAGAAAAAAACATTTGTTCTTCTCCTCTTATTTCTAGGCTATTCACAACTTGTCCTTTTTCCTTTGTGGACTAATTGTGCAAGTTTAGCTGCCAAGTTCAAGAGCTTTTTGAAAACTGTTCTGGGCCTTAATCACACTCTTTTTTGATTGGAATGAGAACCCTTACTCCCCAGGTTTCTGGGAAAAGCCCATGATATAATTGAAAGGTGGGAACTGTTTTTGTCCTTGTTTGTACAGTCACAGAATTCTGGCTAATGGCTATCTCATGAATTAATGCTGAAAAATAATGGATTTACTAAGAGTCTGGTTGGTAAAGTAGAGATAAGGGAGCTGAGTAAGGGGCTGACGCCTTCTCCCAGCCAGCAATTGTAGCAATGTTTTATGATCGGGGAGTAGGTCAATTCACTTGCACATTTAATGGATGAGATAAGGGCAGCTTGCACTAAATTAGCTTTCTGGGCAATATATGATCTCAGGGATGCAAAACCCTTCTGGCTGCTGAGGGAGCTGCCTGCACGTCCTTCAGAGCAAGGCCTGGCAGAGATATTTGCAGATGATGCTCTCTTGTACTAAACACAACTGCTGATGCTCCTGAGCATCCTGCTATAAAATCATGACCCTATGGCAGTGCAGGCCAGTGTGCCACATCTGGGACACAGCTGGCCCCACTCTATTCAGCACCACTTTGTTAGTGGGAAGTGAGGCTGCAGCAGTTTCCAGAAGGATCTTTGTGTTGTGCCCCTCCAGTCCATGCACAGAGATGTGAGTGCAGCTCATGGCAGCCTGTTCCCGCCTTCTGCTCCTCCAGCCCCAGACATCAGGCTGGATTAGGCACCTCCTGGATCCTGACCTGCTTCTTCCTCCTCAATAGATATCTGAGCCTCAGTTTCAGCACTTGCCATCAGATGTTACTTGTTCTGCAGCAGGAGGTTTCCTCTGGTACCACGAACCCCCCCAGCCAAAGTGTTGTGCAAACAACGGAAGAACAATAACTAAAACCAGTCTCTGCCTTAAGGAGCTGACAGCATCTGCCTTATTCCTCCCAGCTTCTGTAAATAAATCCTTGCGAATGTTGCTGTTTTTCGGAGGACGATAAAAGGACCTGTCGACACTCCCTGCCCAGACTTTTCCTGCCATTCACTGAGCTTTCCACTCCCTCTCCCACGAAGGGAGAAGTTTGTTAAAAATTAATTCTCATCTGATGACTGCTAATTATCTTAGAGGCTGTGGGTAAAGTGCAGCAAAGGGACCAAAGGCAGCGCTCAAGAACAGCCCTGCAGGAGGAATGCTGGCTTGGATGGTGCCACTGAGCGGGATCAGCTTGTGAGGGCTTTAACTGATGCTTCTCCAGTGGGATGTCTGACAGCAGAGCAATGAAAAAAGGATCAGTAGAGAGGTCTCTCTCTGTACTCACATACATCTGGTTCTGATTTTTAAAATCTTCCCTTTTGAACTGGGGAGAGCTCACATCACTCTTCGGATTTTAATATTTTGGTTGAGTTTCATCCTGGCTGTTGTTCCCCACCAAGCTCTGGGACAGACTCTGCACAATAACTTTCCCTGCCCTCCCTTGCACACTGTGAGCAGGGAACTTGTCTGACAACCTGTGTGCTGCCTTCTTGCAAGGAGGCACAGCCTCTCCAGTGTGCTCTCCTTCCCGGCGGGGTGAATGGGAAGCTAATCCTGGATTCCTATCTCAGCCCCGCTGATCTAATTAATAGTAACTCCTTTGGCTTTATAGGGTGGAGGGTGCCTGGATTTAGATCTGCATTACCGGAATCAAAACCAGGCCAGCTGTGCTTGTTGATATTAGAGATGCACAGCAAAGAGAAACAACCTCCATGTGCAGTGACATGGGAGAGGTGATTAAACCTTCCTGCTTCCAGCTCTGCAGCCGTGTGTGAGGAATCTGTGCTCTTTAAAAAACAAGGCAAGCAAAAGAAAAATAAGGAGAGAGGCACCTGGAAATCCAAGAGCCAGCAAGAGTGGGAAGATGCACTGCCTCCTGGAAAATCTGTCTCTGCTCCCAGTAGACCCTGGAGAGTAAACCCAAGATCACAGAAAGCACAGGGTAGGGAGGCAGATCATCTGAGGCAGACACAGGACAGGACCAGCCTTGCCCTAAACTCTGCCTAATATTGTCCTGCACTCATCTCCCCTTAACTAATTAGCATGGGCCTTCTAAAGTACACATGGCCCCTCCACCAAGCGCACACCGGACTCCACGCGCCCTCTTACCTGGTCCCTCTCTCTGTCCCTGACAGCATGGAAAGAAGAGCCCAGAGTTGGCAGTGGCAGGCAGGTCCTGCTGCTGTCAGTGGTGCTGCTGGGAGCCCTCCTTCCCCTGTGGGCGTTTCACTGTCCAGGCTTTGCAGCCACTTGGGAGATCCTGCGTGCAAACAATGTGGGACATCTCCGGTGCAGCCAGGCCAGCCCACGAAGGGCACGCGGGGTGATGTGGTGTGGGATCAGGGCAGTTCCCCAGCTGGTCCTGAGACAGACTGCCAACCTGCTGCCCTGCACTTAGCAACAGGGTCCT